TATATACTGGTATGTACGTGCATATATATCTATCTATTTACGTACATTCGAACAACGAGTTTCAATTTTGTTCTCTTCCCACTCAGATCGTTAAATTTGATGAAACGGCAAAATGTAAACATCCCCATTCGAATAAACGTTTGAAAAATTTCTATTTGTTCGGCCCATTTACGAAATATACGAAAACGTGAAAAGCAAAGGGCGGCATTCGTTAATGACGTTCGACGAAACGTAAACGAAAAATTGGTTACACTCTGCACAGTACTTTTTCTGAATATACATTTGTAAACAAAAAAAAAAAGAAAATAATTATTTGCGACAAAACAAAAATATCGATTAAAACGAAAGGAATAAATTTGAAAATTTGTGTTTTTTTTTTTTTTTTTAATGAATGATCAATTTTTTTTACTACTACAACTACTACTATCATTATGTTAATTGTAATTTTGTAATTTGAAAAGATAGAAAGAAATAATAGAAAAAAAAAAAGGAAGAAATGTTTGTGAACGTAATGAAATCTCACGATCGTTTTTTTTTATTGTAATACAAACATAAAAAAAAAAAAAAAAAGAAAGAAAGAAAGAAAGAAAGTCTGTAAGAGGAACACGATTCACTGGACCGAGCTTTTATTCTTTCATAAAGGAATGCAGTGCATTCAACCTTTTATTGACCGCAACTGACAAAGAATACTTCGTACATTGCTCAATTGATGGGTTCAAAGGCGATACTCGAATGAAGATCTACGAGTCAGGGTGCGAAGGTTTCGTCGGCCATCATCTCAAGAGAAAAAGAGAGAGAAAGAGTTAATGTACACTACATTCTCTACATATATAAATTGTATACAATTTCAAGATAAACGAACGATAAAGTATCACTTCAATGTCTACCCTTTACGTTCTTATAAAATTATTTAGTTCCTTTTTTCTTTTTAATCTTAGTAATATTATCTCTTATACATTCTTAGGATCGATTTAATGGAATGCGAAAATAATAAGGTCGATAATCTTTAAAGAGTATTCATGTGAAATATCATTGAAGTAATATTTTAAGTCAAGAAATACAAGTGATATTTATTCTTTCCTGATTAACAGTCTACCATTGTGAAAATTAATACTAACATTGAACATAACTAATATATATAACTAACTGATTACTTATTATCAAGTAGAGTATCACAAAAATGTATATAATAGTATAGTTAACTATTCGTAAACAATATGTTGTCAACAGATGTGCTTTCATAATTAAATTTCATTGATTCTGAATGCAATTCTAAATGACTTAATTAACAACACATACGTATATATATATATGTTTGATATATATCTAATGTTATTTGAGATATGAGCTGTTCAGTGCACACATCGATTAATTCCATAAAACAAAAAGTTGAGAAATGCGATGAAATAATGTATATTGTTGTATTACTTATTATTCAATGGGCAAAAAAATATTGCCGTTTAACCCTTTGACTGCTAAAGGCGTATATATAAGCTGTCACAAATCCATCAATATATATACGAAAGGCGTATATATACGCTCTCACAAATCCATCAGTATATGCGAAAGGCGTAAATATACATAGGCCCTCTGTATTTTTTTTTTTTACTATAACACCTTTATTGCTGTATTACCGATTAATTTAACATGGAATTTATTGTGATATGTAACATAGCAATTAAATATTGGCAATTATTTCAATATCGTTTAGTTAATTGCTTTTATATTTGAAATTCGTCGTTTATTTTAATTTTATTATCTTCATATTCGTTCATTATCGTTTGATTATTTTTATAATTAGGTTAAAAATTATTATAAATATCCTGTTATTAAAGTTATTATACTCGTGTGTTACATTATAAATTTTGTATTTTTTTTTTTCTTTTATATTTAAATTACCGATTATTATTGAAGGATTGCACAAAATAAATAAAGTAAAATTAAAATAGGTTAAAAAATTACTTTTAAAAAATTCATATTTTTATTTGATTTACCATTAATATCTGTTTTGGTCAATAGTCAAATGGAAAAACAATCGCAACGACTGACATGTGAAAATCGCGCCCCGTTCATATTTAATAGATTGGTTCGAGACTGCGCCGCAGTCAAAGGGTTAATGGTGTTAATCTTTATTATTTAGGAAAGTTATTATAAATATAAAAAGTTATGACTATATCAAGTGTTTTGACACTTAAATTTAAGATTTTTCAAAAAGTGGAGTTAATCGATGTTGTGCATGCACTGAACGGCTCATATGATATTCTATATTTTTTTTGTTTTTGTTATTAAAGATCATTGTAACATAAATGTGCTAGCAATAGTATTTTATTGAAAGATATATTAAACTATCCTCTTATTCGAGAGCATAGAAGCATATGAAACTATTACAAACAATGTAGTCACATCTTTATTCGAATATTTTTCTTTGTTGTATGTAAAATCGATGGAAATATCGAATCGTACAAGTTCATCGAGCCTTTGACTATTCATCCGTGCATGAAGCAGTCGAATCTATTCGGTTAAATGAACGAATTTACCCTTGAACAACGTCTCGCTTGTTCTCTCTCTTTCTCTTTCTCTCTCTTTCTCTCTTTCTCTCTCTCTCTCTTTCTCATGCCCTTTCTCTTTCAACGATAGTTAATTAACGAATTTAGACGATAAAAGTATTCCGGATATTTCTAAAGTTTGATATATATGATCGAGTGAACGAGGAGATACCTGGATAAATAAAAAAAAAAAGAGAAAAATAATAATAATAAAATATTTAACGAACAAATTTAATTAATTCATTATAAATTTTACTTTAGACGAATCATCATCATCATCATCATCATCATCGTCGTGAGTTTAAACTACGTACGATAGACGATATAAAAATAAACTTAATTAACGCTAAACTATGACGCGTTGGTCTATTCTAATAACGCGTCGGGACGTAATGAAAAATAATAATAATAATAATAATAATAATAAAAAAAACATAGTATATGTATTTACTATTATTTAAAAATAATCCGATAAAAAAGTATGACAAATTTTATCTATCTATCTATCTATCTATCTATCGACATTCGATAGGAAAAACTTTCTAAATGATTCAAAAGATGTCACAACGTCAAATACTTCGTACTCTTTCCAAATGAACAAATTGAGTTAACCGTTTGAACTTTTATATTTTGTCTGACAGCAAAATAACAAGTCTAATACATATTGCTCTTTTTGTACAATGTCGAAGTCTTAAAAGTTGTTTTTCTTTTTTTCTTTTTTCTTTCTCTATTTCAACAAACGACGTGGCTAAATGAAAGATCGATTACAAGGTTGACGTTTCAATACTCTCAAACGTATGAAATCATTTTACTCTATTATATGAGTATTGAAAAATACAAAAAAAAGTTCATATAAAAGAAAGTTCTTAAAGGAAGTGCTCATTAATTCATCTAATTAGCGAGGTAAAAATAGAAAAGCTGAAAATATTAAAATCGACAAAATTAAAAGGTGAAATTAATGCACGCAAGCACGCAAGCACGCACGCATACATATATGTATATTTGTAATACGAGTTTGATCTTGTTCGTGATTGCGTACGAACTTGCRTGTACATATGTGTATGTATGTATAAACGCGGACAGATAGATAGATAGAGAGAAAGAAAGAAAGAAAAAAGACGGAGAGAAGGGTTGAAGGGAAAGAAACGTAAAGGGGCGCGCGATAAAACTCGTAGCACGAAGTTGCACGAGCGGACAGAAGGCAAACCATTCGAACACACCCCCTGCGCCGTTGATTCTCGCGCCTCTGTCTTCTTTCTCTCTCTCTCACATACACACACCTGAAGGTAGTATTATTCATAGGAGTGTTGGAGGGCGCGTGTGCATGCGCATGCGCGAATCCACGCACCTCACTCACGTACATACGTACGTATGTACGTATGTATGTATGTATGTATGTATGTACGCACGCATGCACGCAAGCCCAACACAACACAACGGCAGCAAAGGCACACACGCCCTCGCGCGATCACGTTACTCACTTGCCGATAATTTCGCAGAGCTCGTAAACTTCGTCGAATAGAACTTCGTCGTCCGCCATAGTTGACAACCACCACAAGAGTCGACTTGCTGAATAATAAACTTTATCGTTTTCTCTATGAGAAAACGTTAGAATCAGCTACGACGAATCGTACGAAAGATGGATTATTATTCGTAAAGCGCGCGTATATGCGCAGCTCTTGTTAAACGACGTCGTCGTCGCCGTCGTCGTCTTCGTGGTCGTTGTTGTTGTTGTTGTTGTTGCAGCTGATGTGTTGTTGTTATTATTGTTATTATTATTGTTATTGTTGTCGTTTTCGTCGTCGTCGTCGTAATCGGTGGTGGTGGTGGTGTTTTTGTTTTTGTTGTTGTCTCGTTGATTTTCTTCGATGCTCGCTTCTCTATTTTCTATTCTTCTTGGCTTTTTGTCAAATAAAAAAAAAAAGATTTGCCGAACAGAGAGAAAGAGAGAGAGAGAAAAAAAAGCTACCGGGAAGGAGCGAGCGAGACAAGAATGTTGTACGGCGTGAACGTAGTCTCGTAGTCTCGTTTTCACGTCCGTCTATGGAGACGCCTATCTCGCTCTATCATGTATTCCGTGCCGGTTAGCCCGCTCCTTTTTCTTTTTCTCTCTCTCTCTCTCTTCTCTACACTACTATTATTCTCTTCCTCTTCCTCTTCCTCACGCACACGTCACACGACGCGGACGAGAACGACACACGTATACGCGGCGGGATTAGATAGTGCGAAGCACAGAGGACTACTAGTCGTGGCTATAATGCAGCCGCGTTGACACATCGGGAATTCTCGTCGTTGTTGTATATATCTCGGTTAGTTCACGGGTTCGTTCACGAGATCATTTACGGACACCTTTGACGCGACAACGACGACGACGACTGGTTAGGCTATATCGTTTCTTTCCTCCGTCGGTAGAGAAGAAAGGAGAAGAATAATATGTGCGTGTGTATCTCGTTCCCAAATACGTTCTCTCGTCGTCTTTTGATTTTCGAAGAATGTATATCTATCACCCTTTCAGATCTAGCGGAAACACAACACCGACACCGCCTTTCTACGACCTTGCCTTCCTTTTAGCTCGTGGTGTTTTCGAACTACTCGCTCGACGATCTGTTCGTTCCTTATTCCTCGTACGGTTTCGCCTACGTTCTTAGCACCTTCTTCACTGTCGATACATATATATACATATATATACATATATATATATATATATATATATATATATATATCTTATCGTATCGTATTCGTAATGCGTTAGAACGCGCGGATACTATAACGCTATCTTACTACACAAGGGGCACAGCTCACAGAATATAGTTACTCGGAACTTGATAAGGATATTTCACAAGAGTTAGGTTTTTCTTGAAATGATTATCGCCGGAAACGCGACTCGTACGTGCTCGAATCGGACGGAGCGTAGTCAATTCCCCGATCTCGAGATACGGTATAGGAGTTGGTACGAGAACCGCACGCGCTTCCCCGTCTGTCAAAGGAGACCGGGGTAGTAGATTCGTTCGCTCCGAAGCACGACTGGTTGCATAAAACGCGGCGGGCGGCTGCGCTGAACAACTGACTCCCTCTTTTACCCCTTCCCTCTTCTACAACCATCGACGAGGCGAGTAGCTTTCGCAGAGCATGGAGGGGCGGGCGTGGCGCCTCTCCTTCGCCGCCTGTGGATAGCCTTTTGCATCTTGCAACGACAACTCCTTTCTTCTTATTATTATTTTCTTATTTTTATTCTTAATGCTTTATTTCATTTGTTTGTTTATATTTTCACAATACCTTTTTTTTTTTATATCTCCAACGAAAGATTATAATTAAATTCTAATCAACTTTATATCTGATCTTTTTTCATTGATAGCATTAAGGATGATAAAATCTAATATATTTTTTCGAAAGTTTTAACATCGATAACTTTTAACTAAGTTTTAAAATGAAATTATATTTTTTAGTATCATCCTCAACGTGCTTCGTTTATTTTCTACTTTATGTTGCTACGTTCCAAGAATGAGTGACACATTTTTGTAATTAATTAGTAAACAAAGCAGACAGCATGAAAAATTCAACTACCTGTTTCAATGATACATATAATCAATGTGGATTAGGATGTAGGAATGTCGGTGGTCGATGTGCGTCATTGCATTATAAAATATTTACGTAATATGTAATAAATTTCTATTTTTGCACTATTAGTATTTTGTTCTATTAACTGATAAAAATGTTCTTTGAATTATTACAATGAATTTCTAATATATATAAGTGCAATAAATAAAAATTATTATAACATGTGCATCTTATCATAAAGTACACATGAAAAATATTTCTACAAACGTAAACATATATATATATAAATTTATTATTTGATTTTTATTGTACCGTAAGGTAATAGTCCTTCAAAAAATTCTTGTATATCTTCCTGCTTCCCAAATACTGTTAAAACTATGATGTCTTTTCCATTTGACCATCGTTCGTAGAGCTTATGCAAATCAAGAGCAAAATATTTGCTTTTGTTATAAAGATATTTTAAATGCTTATTATTAATTCCCTTCAATATGACTATCTTCTCACTGCAAATAAAATTTGAAAATGTTAAGAAATCTAAATCTATCGTACATTATTAATGTATCAATACGTAAACATTGCTAACCCAGATTGACTCCATTTATCCAAATAATAACTCGTTATGTTACTAGAAATTAATCTGTCATGCAGTGCAATCAAACCACGTGCAATCTAGAAATATAAAAACATATTTTTTAATTATACATATATATTATACAGGATGAAAAGATTATGATTAATTTATACAAGGAGATTATCAAACATATTAGAACAAAGAAAACAGATATTCTATTTCTACCACAGCAGTAGCAGTTCCATGATCCATGTTATAACTCGTATTCAGGATAGAATAAAAAACATATTCTAAGGGTCCAATATTATTAACATTAAGTCTTTTCTTAATTTTTCTATGCTTTGATTGAGATGAAACTTTCTTCTTATTACATACTTTATATATCTTCTTCCTAAAATTTTAGCACGAGTCAATTTCTTCATACTTATTTTTATATCAAATTTATCTAAAATAATTATGGTAGACGTGCCAAGTTTCATTGTTCTAATATTATCTCCTTTGACAGTTACACATTAATAAAAACATGACTAATGTTTTAAAACGCAATCAAACCTTCTTCTCACAACAATTTTGAAATTGTTATTTTGATTACATTCTCGTTTAGAATGGTCTTCACATTGATGCATCAAAACCAAACTTTCTTGATTCGAACACTGTTTTATGACTTTTTTCTTTGACATCTTGTGATTTTTAATTCTGCTTCTATAACAAAAAAATCTTACTCATGTTATGTTTCATAAAATTATCCTCTATTTTTCATAATATTTGACATAAAACATTTCTGCAGTTTTAGAGGTTATGTTAGAATCTAAGAATATAGTAACAAGTATTTTAACTACACAGTAGATCATAAATACATTTAAATACATAAATTCGTTCAATGATAATGAACAATTTTCTGAACAAACATTTACAATGTACCATTTGTACGTAAAATCCATGATATAAACTGTAATTTATATAATATTACATTGCAATAAAGATCTACCAGCAAATATATAACCTATACCACAAAAAGCATTTTTGCACTTTTAAAAGATAGATAGCACTGGTTGTATATTCTTATAAGGTAACATTTTTTAACATACTCATTTGTATTTATCTTTAATTTAGACATTATTAATTCCTTTACTATGTTAATATTAATAATTTGACTAAAGTGTTAATAAAACTATAAATAATAAAAAGAAATAGTCATTAAATATATAATTTTATAATAAAATTAATTCTTAGATATCTGTCGTTTGTAATAAGCAAATTATCCATTATCTTTGTATAAAAGTACAGAGAACATATTAAAAAAATTATAATTTGATAAATTGATACTTTACCTACCGTAGTCACATGATTATTTTGCTTACATAAATGAATACAAAGTACACAGTAGCTCCCACTTTTCACTTATGTATAAATGCATTTCTAATCAAATTAATTATCTAATAAAATTAATAAATGCATTTATTAATGAAATATTTGATAATTATTTAAGAATGCATTTATTACGTTATCTTATGCTAAGGTTATCTATCTTATCGATAGATGTACGGAGAGGTTACTGGACAGATCACGTTTATCTAGTAATTCGATAGATCGACTTATCGTCGTGGAGCGCTAGCATCGCTTTCTTCGATATTCGTTAAAATTCCGTATAGGTGTCTAGTGTTTGGTATATTAGGTTAGGGTAGTTGTTTTCGTAATTAAAATCTTTTAACGTGATATTATTGAACTGTCATAATGTTGTAATGATTTATTTACAAAGTTACAGTGTTTGAATATTAATATACAATTTTCTAGTGAATGACTGAATGTTTATCGCGAATAAAATTAAATGTGTTATGAAGTGAAGATAGTCAAAATATTTTCTATAACCTTTTTTTTAATTATTTTATAATTATCAAAGTTTTATTAAAAGGAATTCATCGAGATTTAATTAATTGATATATTCAAGAGAAAATGGCAAATCACGAGTTGGAAACATCATATATATCCAGAAATGACAATAATTGGAGGAAAAACATTATCTCACAGCTTCGCGAAAGGAACAGGATTGAAACATTTTGTTTTTCTGATCTCATCACTTTACGTAAGTATTATTTTAATTTAATAATTATATGTGAAATAATAGAATATTATATTTTTCCTATCTGTACTTTATTTTCTAAAAACATGTATTATTGTAAGGTAGATTTCAATATGTTAATATCAAAGATATGTTATATATATATATATAAAAGATTCCTCTGATTAAAATTACATGTAAAAATTATCTGTTCTTTCTACATGTATTTTATCTTATTAGTATAAATGATAAAACTATATTTGTATGATTAATGATGATTTTGTTTTCTAATAGATAATAGATTATTTGAAAACGTAAATACACTACGTTGTCAAAATATGCAATTGACAATATCAAATGAAAATTTGAGACGTGAGAATTGCAATCACAGTCCAGGAGCAAGTTCAGTTAACGAAGCACGCCTGAAACAAACTGAAGAATTAACTGCATTACATAAGAAAAATGGTGAACATATGCAACAAATAGTAGATCTTAATAAGAAAATGCAAGAAATGATAAAAGAACTACATGCTAAGGAAACAAGGTATCCATTGAATTTTCAATCTTACATCATGTATTTTTTAATAGTATTAAATAGTATATGTTTTGTTCTAATAAGTAATAATAATCATTCTAAGTATAACATATTTTCTTTTTTAGTCTTGCTGAATGTAAGGAAACCAACAACATTTTACGTTCTGATATTGCAAAATATCTAACCAGAGAACGAGAATATGAAAGTATAAATCAAATGCTTAAAGATGAACATCAAGCTTTGCAACTTGCTTTTGCAGCTTTGGAAGATAAACTTAGAAAATCACAGGTATATTTAATGCATATAAACATATTTTATAAATTTTATAAAAATATTACTACATATATATATCTTAAATTTTGTATAGGAAGAAAATCGTCAATTGGTGGAACGGTTAATTAAATACAAAGCAAGGGATGCTGAGAAAATGAATGAAGAAAATGATAATTTTTTAAAGTAAGTAACTTCATTATATTATCATTCATGTTAATATTCATTTATTATAATTTCAGTATCATAAGTTAGTTAAAAAGATATATTTGATTGAATGATTTTAATCAAATTTAGAGTTGTATATAAATATGTTGATAATATATGCATCACTCCCACTTGTATTTATTTATTTTGTTTATATCTTTTTTTGATGTTGTATAATATATATATAATATATTAATTTTGAATGCTTTGTAATTTTGATTATGCATGCTTCAAGTTTTTCTATTTTTTATATTATAACAGACAAATATAATAATATATTGTATAAATATATTTTTCAATGTTAAAACTTTTCAAGTTTGTTTGAAATAATTCAATGAAGTGATTTCATAACTATGCAATAAGAAATAAGGTATGTAAGAAAAGCAAATTTATGGTAATGGAGTTGTATTTTTTATATTCTATATATTGAACATATTATGTATATGAAATACACAAAATAGAAATCAAGTGGAGAGAAATTTAGTGTAATACATATTGCTTTTTTGTAATATTTGTACTAAATATATATATTCACATATATATATATATATATATATTTATAACTTTATTGCACCGATTTTCTTGCCTGCGCCATAAATTTTTGTTTATTGCTAAACTAACTATTCTGCTTTGCTTTTTTTTTAAATGTAGTAATATTTGAATGAACACCATCTTGAAAACTTTTGTAAATATTTCTTTCTTTCTTTTTTTTTTTTTTTTAAATATTAATACAAAGAAAATAATATTTAAAATAAATGGGGCTTTTACAGAGAAACATCATTTAGTTTTTTTTTTTAGAGCTTTTAGATAGCATTTTCCACTGTTTTGAAATTTTCTTTTCAGTGAGAGTTTTACCAGTCCAACAGCCTTTTTGATGAATACCTTATCTAAATTTGGGTAAGTTCAATGAAATGAACTGAAACATGTTAAGCTTTTTGCTAAATAGCTTAAAAAAGGCCACTAGCTTAATAGTATTATGTTATAAGTGTTTATAATTATTACAGTGTATTGTGTACAATGGCTCACGAAAATATTCGAAAATGATCGTCATTAATATTAATATTTCAAATTTAAATAGAACGATTATATTCGAATATTTTGGTTGTTGTTGAAATTATTTATGTATTACATTAATTTGTTTTTCTTCACAAGTATTATTATATCTGCAAATAATTTTTCTTTTAATGTTTAATAATTATATTACAATTATTTGTATTGAATCGTTGTATGTCAATCAATTTTTCCTAATCTAAGGCAAATAATTATTTAATAATTCTTAATATGATATATATATATATATATCTTAGGTGATAATAAAACAAACTTGAAAAGATATTTACTGATATGAGATGTGATGAAATGTTATGAGATATTTTTATCTTTGTGGGTAATAATCTATTAATTTATATGTATATAAAATATAAATATATATATAAATGCATTTTTTTGCAGTAATACTTTTAAAGCTACTAATTTGGGGAAAAAAAAAAAAATTACTAAGAAATATTGGGATAAAAATTGTTTAATCAAATGCTTGGCAATACAGTTTTGCATGTGATTTGTATGTACGTATACATACACAACATATATTTTTTATAAGTTTTAGAAAAAAAAAACTTTAATTAAATTCTAAGAACAATGGTGTGGTAATTACAATATACAATTTGTCTGTTGTAAATATTGCGTTGTTGTTATCGTTTTATTGATGTGTCCAAATATATTGATCATATTTAAATGAAAGTCTTATTTTAAAATGTTTTTTTTTTAAATTTATTATTTGATGTGTATATTTTTTTTACAGAAAACGACAAGCAAAAATGCAAAAAGAGTTAGAGGATGCTGCTCGTGATACACGACCTGTTAGTCCTGATAGATCGAGTTTAAAAGAAGGTGTTGCTGGTCTTCCTACAACAGTACCAACAAAAGTGTCCGTCTCATTTGTACGTTGATTTGTACTTAAAGTACTAATTATTTATGCATTATTATAATCATAAAAATTTGAATTCATATGATTATTTATTATTGAATTTTATATTAATATTATTATCAAATAATGCATGCCATAAATAATGAAAGTAAAGTATTATGCAGTTATGAGTACTTTATTTTTTAAATCACAATATCAATGGGTTTAATATTATAGATTGCTAATTTTCATGGATTACTTTCAAGTATTTTTTTGTCTTCGTATGTTTATTTCATATTTTTATTTAAAGCTTTCAATATTTAAGAGTTATTATATAGTTTGTATATTTTGATCATTACATATTATTTAGTAAAAACTTGGATGCTATTTGTTCTTCTAGCTATGTTTGTTGTATCATATTTGATTATGTGCATACTTAATATCGCACATTATCTGATACATATTCATTTTTTTCCTTTGAATAAATATTTTTTTCTTAGAAGTTTAAGAACATAAGATTTGTAATCTTATTTATTAAGATTTAATCTGTATTAAAAAAAGTAAGCAAATAATTATTTGTTCATAGAAATTGATTAATATAATAAGATTGTTATATTAATCAATATTCAACAAACTTGTAAGCTCTATCAATATATATACATATATATATATATATATACATATATGCTGTTATGTGGCACAAAGTTCATTTTTCAAATTGATATTTTAATTTTGTATGCAATTTATTATCGTTGTATTTCTTATTTACGCATGTTACATTTGTGATGTAGAATAGATTTTTCAATTTGCATGAGACAATAATATTATATCGATGAAATTCATTAGCAATAATTTTTTTTTAAATATTGTTTTATATATATATATATATATATATATATATATATATATGTATAGATGATACAAAGTTTGTTGATAACCGTAAACTTTTCTTATATTGAAATATTTGCATGAAAAAATTGATAATATTTATAAAATTTTTTTTTTTAGTTACTTACGTTCTTAATTTATTATAAATTATTATGACAAAAAGCACATAACATATTTTTGTATTTAACAGATTCTAGTTTATTAGCTTAATGTTTTGATTTATTTTGTATAACGTAAATATACAATGAAGCGACATACACAAATGTATATTCTAGAATTATGAAGAGTATGTTGTAATGTGTATTACTTAATATAATGTTACAAATGCTTTTCTCTTTAAATTAAACAGATTTAGTTTCAAGCTTTAAATATATTGGATAATAATGCTATATCTAGTTTCAAAAGATTACTTTCTTTCAAAGATATTGAATTTAAAAGTAGGAGTTGAAAAATATTTTTTCAAAAATAATTGTTTCAAATTTTAATTGAAACAATTATGAGTACTACTACAAAAAATATTATAATTGTTATAAACATAATAATTCTCATTCATATCAGTGATTCGATTATGATTTTTCTAGAATTGATATCATATCATTTCCATTTAGATTTTATAATTGTTATTATTTGATTTTTTAGAATTGAAACTGATATGAACGAAAATTCTCATATTCGTAACAATTATATAATATTTTTTGTTGATCATCTTAACCATTTTCAATCTCTGCTTAAAAGTGCTCAAGTTCATATAAATTTACAAAAATAATTATTTAATGTTATGCGTAATATATAAAACTTTGTTGTTTGAAACTGAAACAATTAAAATTAGATTTTTCTAGATTAGTTTTATTAGTAAATTATAATTTTCATTTTCATTGACAATTATTATGGTATTTGATATTGTATAGATTGCAATGTAAATAAAGTTTTATGAGATAAAGTGAATTCGTATAGTAAGATATATATATATATATATAACTTTGTAGAATTTCATAAAAAATATGCTCGTTATTTGTTGATTTTTCCAAAATTATTATAATTCAAGAAACAAATTTGTAATAGAAATTTTCTTTCATAATTATCATACACGTAATTTTTAGAAGGGTTTACGGTTGTAAATATTTCAAGAAAACATTTTTAATTAGAAAAAAAAAAAACAAAAATCAGAAATAATTATATCAGTATTTGATAAAACTTACAATTATGTCGAATGAAAAATTTGCCATCATATTTTCTTGAATATATTTATGTAAAGTTTTAATTATTATATTTCTTTTTTTTTTTTTACAATGAAAAATCTCAATGTTTGTACAAACGGATATATTGTTTTTTTTTCTTTTTTTTTTTTTTAAATAATTATATATCAACTTGCACGTTATTATGATGGAATGTAGATTATGAAACAAAAGGTAGAAGTTTTTCATTTTCCAAGTTTGACTCGAACCGAATAGAAAGAGAATTTGTTTTGGTAAAAGAGAACACTCGCACCCCCCCCCCCGCACCCACCCACTCCGCCTTGTTATTTGTTTTTGTTAGTTTAACGTTTATTCGTGCGTAATGTAATGCATGAATTCTTTGAAATTTATACGCCAAGTATTTATAACCCTTTCCAGAATGCTCACGAGGGAGAAGTGTACGCCGTAAAATGGTCTCCAGTCGACAGAATCCTGGCCACCGGTGGAGCGGACAGGAAGGTGAAACTGTGGAGTATAATTAAAGGTAATTGGATAACCTCTCATCTCTGTAAAATTTTTTGCATAAACGTTTAGGGAAGAATATCAATAATACACTTTGCCCTTTTGCATACTCATTTATTTATTTTTACATTTTACGTGCACACATATTTTATCATCTTTCGTATATTTGTAAAAACGTGTTAACGTTTACAGACACGAACATCGAAATGACGCTGCTCATTTGATTAATGAAGATGCAGGTGTTAAGAAAAACGACGATAAGTCAAAAGGGTGAAAAGTAATACGTACATGTGAAAAAAAAAAAACTAAAAATTTCAGTTATCCGTATAATTTTGTTCCCCCGTTTTAAATATTCAAAAACCTCTTAACAGTTACGAGGTTTTTCCAAGTGCAAAATTGTAATCGAAACCTCAACAAAATTTCGAGTTTTTATATTTTTTTTCTTTTTTGGATGATACGTTATTATCGTTTTTTTTTTTTTTTTTTTTCAATATAAAATGATTGATTCATCGTTGAATTAATTTCGAAGTTAGCAAATGTTAGCGTAGCAATTTTAATCTCACGTTTGTTAATACGTTTACTTTTAATTAAACCGACAATATTGATTACAATCGTTTCAATTTTTACCAATATGATGGTACAATCCTCCCCTAAATTCTGATCATATATATATTTTTTTAAAATAAATTAGATTAGATTATCGAGAGGATAATATACATGTATATAGTAGACATTAATTAAAATAGCAAGAACGTCTAAGAAGTTTTGGAAACGCGTCGTCGAGTTGTTTCGCGACATTCTTCCAGAGGGGCTTCTCTATTCTCCATCCACTTAATGAAGTATGTTAACGAATCAACAGGTTACCTTGTATAGCGTAGCCGTTGTGTATACCACGGCTCTCTTTCGCCATAGGGATGCCTATTAAAAGCCGTCGGCCTGCCTGCCAGCCAGCCAGCCAGCCAGGCAACCAACCAGCCATTGAAACCGTTTCTCCACGTCCTCCTGCGAAACGCTTTTGCGAAGTGCGACCTGGCTCGGATATAATGCGCCGCACCTCGCGATAATCCCCTTCGCCGCGTTGCAAATTGGATGAAGCATCTGTACTTATTGTACGGCTTATACGCGCTTTAGTATTACCTATATATATATGTATATGTATATATACATGTATATATATATATATATATAAGACCTATTTCCTTTCCTCGTTTTGCGAGAGCGAAATATACGACTTCCTCGGACGTTTGCTTCCACCTTCATCGTATTTCCTTTTCCACCCATCCTTCTTTCTTCCTTTCCTTCCTTCCTTCCTTCTTTTTTTTTCCCCCATTTTTTTCACCTTCGTTAATTGGCTTTTGTGCGCACTCGATTCATTTATCTACCCATCGAGCTGTCCACCTATCCATATATCCGTCTCTTTCTCTCCTCCTCCAGCAGCACTCTCCTCTCAACCTTCCACCCACCGGTTCAGTCCATTCCACCCTCTAGCATTCTCTTTATTTTCTCATCTGGTTTTCTCATCGTCCGTAAGCAATTAGGGCGAGTGAGCGTAAATTTAATTAGCCTTGGGGTAAAGGGACTCTGTCTGTTCGTCTGTCTGTCTGTTTGTCTGTCTGACTGACTGTTCTCGGGAAAGGAGAATGAGACGTATGACCTCGATACGAAACTTTTGTTTCAGGCACGTCCGAATGTAAGGGAGTGCTCGTCGGTAGCAACGCTGGTGTAATGTCGGTTGACTTTGATTCGACGGGTACCCTCATCCTTGGAGCTTCCAACGACTTTGCCAGCAGGGTATGGACCCTCAGTGATCTTCGGGTTAAGGTAAGTGATGTCATGTTTTCACGGGGTTTCAACTTTTTCTATTTTTACAGAACTATTAACGAATACGTTTCTCTTTTTATGTTTCTTCTTTTTTGTGTGTTTTTCTTTTTTGTACATACGCGACGGACGGCATGACAACGGCCATCGAAAATGGGTTTTTTTTTGATCGACCATGCCAAACTATATTGAAAAAAAAAAAATAACTTCGATATAATAATCATTTTCTTTTTTTTTTTTATGTATTTTACGTTTAGATTTATTAGCGTGTTTATTAACGTGTAGGAATATATAGTGGTATGTTTGAATAAGAACACATAATCCTTATGACGTAAGGATACACACGAAGGATATATACAAGTTTTAACTATGAAACATTCGATCATCTTTCTATTCTTTTTTTATCCATTACAGTTGCGGGAAGAATATTACACGTTTTCGCACTTAATAACTATCTTTTTTTTTTCTTTTTTTTTTTTCTTTCAATTATTCACTAATCGAAGAACGGATATGTTAAATGTAGTATTTTAGGGTTTTTTTTTCTTTTTTTATGAAACTAAACTTGTGCGGGTGCAATCAGGAAATATGATGATCGATTACTGGATGGAAAAAGAAAAATCTTGTTTTATTCGTGATTAAGGTTTTCCCCCTTTCTCGTTTTATCTATCTATCTATCTATCTCTTTCTCTCTCTCTCTCTCTCTCTCTCTCTCTCGCTTTCTATCTTTTTCTTTTTCTCTATACGTCTCGTTATCCTGACATGGTCTCTTCAAAGTGCCGCGAGTGTATAAAGTACTGTGATAAAGTATCGTCATCGATACTACAAAGTCCTTTCGACGATCAAACGAGAAACAGAGAGAAAGAGAGATAAAGAGAGAGAAAGAGAAAGAAAATATTTCTCCTCTCGAGTTGATTTTCAAACTCGTTAATATCCACTTACGTGGGTGTAACCTTTATTAACACGTTGAGTACCACGTCAGTCAGTAGTGACTGACACTGAACTTCTCGTTCAGGCCATGTCAGACATCGGTGCCTGACGTTCAACTACTCAAACCGTTTGTTTCACCGTGCGTGGCCTGACGAAGGATTTTCGTAAAAATTCAACGTGACGTTCAACGTGTTAAACGTTGATTTATATTTTTGCAAAAATAAAAAAAAAATAAAAAAGAATAAAAAATTAGGTTAAGTCCAGAGATACTTTGTTTTTAAAAGAAATTTCTTCGTAGTAGTAGTAGTAGTAGTAGTAGTAGTAGTAGTAGTAGTAGTAGGAAAAATGATAGGATTTCTCTGGTTTTCTCATTTATATGCAGTCCCCTAATGGGTTCCTTGTACCCACCGACTATTCCTCCTTCATGGTTGATACACTTTACAGTCGACGACCAATGGTAGGAGGTAGAAGTTACATTAAAACTTCTAATGAACGTCGTGCGCGTCTACCTCAACCAACGTGGAACTATTCGCGTAACATTGTGTAATTCAACATCGTGCGATACACAAAGCGTTGGATCTAATTTGTCCCCTTTTCATCTACCCCTTCACCCCCCCTCCTTCTCCTCCTCCTTGGAAGCAGTTACGCAACGTATGTATTCATCGGGTTACATAATAAAGAGAAAGAGAGAGAAAGAGAGTGAGAGTGAGAGTGAGAGTGAGATAAGAAACTAGATATGTACATTTCTGTTAATATATATATATATATATATATATGTGTCTATAATTATGAAGTGGTGGTAAACAAAAATTTACAAAAAAAAAATCAGCTTATCAGTTATTTCAACAACACATTATTTTAAGTTAAATAAATTCGATGTAATTGGAAACGATATTGTCAAAAATAAATTGTTAAATAGGTGTTTGAAATAATAAAAAAATAAAAAAATAAGAACTGAAACAAATTCAATTTAGTCTACAACATATCTTCTTCTTCTTCTTCTTAATATATATATATATATATATATATATATATAAATTAGGTGTCACGTTGTTTGTCTGCAATGGACTCCTAAACTGTTGAACCGATTTTAATCAAATTTTGCACACTCTGTGCAGTTTCATCCAACTTGAAAGATAGGAGTATTATTTTATTATAATTATTATTTTATTGCGAATTATTTGTTTATTAACAAAGAGTCATGATTATCTCTGTTAGTTCGATAAGATTCTAACAGATGGTGGTATAAGGTAATTCGTTGACTGGATTGAGCAAGTATCCAATAGATGGCACCATGTTAAAAGTACAAACGTTTTATGTAAAGCTACAGCAACGCGTAACGGGGCACAACTACTCCAATATGATTTTTCTTCTAATTATGTCATTAATTATTATTTAAATTAATTATATTTAATTAATTATAATTAACATCACATTTTTCTTTTTTCTTTTTCCATTGAAATTGTTTTGTAAAAGTCGTTGGTAAAATGTGAAATGAAAAAAATATAACTTCGAGTGCAACTTTGCACAACTTTCATAATTATGGACACATATATGTATACATATATATATAGACAAAAAGAGAGTGCATTTAAAGATATAGAACGATTGATAAAAAGTAAAAATAAGAAACTTCAAGAAAGTAGATAAATATAAGAATATCAGGTAAAAGTAGTAGATAGAGATGAGCTGATAGTTCCACTTCAAACATCGCATGTATTATTTGATACACCCCTTATGTTTCTGAAGCGGTATCCCTTAAACTTGTATCAAGATTCTCTTTGATTTCAAACATAGCCACTGGCATATTTAATATCGTCGTTTATAATCTTTGACGTTGCTCCAAGACAACAACGAACATGATGCATCCTGCAACAAATGCATTTTGTGGATTTATCCAAAATCTAATCAATGTTATCAATGTTTTTCAATCGGTATGTTAAATGGCATTCGTATCATTGAACATTTTTTTATTTTTATTTTTATATTCAAGAGAATTCGAGTTTTCTCCTCGATTTCTTTTTCCCCCTTTTTTTTTCTATTTATTTTTCTTTTTTTGGAACGTTTCACCCATCTCGTTCACGAAACAGGCCGCATCGAGAATAAACCGAACGACGGTTAGGTAGTTTCATTTCGAAGATTGGCGTGCAACGGGGTGTAAACTTACGCTGAGAAAACACGTAGTGAGTGATTGACACATGAGCGATTCCCAAGCAGAGAAGTCCATATCATTCGGTGAGTTATTTGGGTTGGAAGGTGTTACATAAATATACGTATGCATATTGTGGTCATCTTATGTTCATTTTATGACATAGTTTTCATTAGGTGGTTCGGAAAGTCGTTTTCGTTTTTCTTTTGTAAAAATGAAGATAATTTTTGCTTCGAGGCTTAAACCTAAACCTTTCAAGTGGTCATAAATAGTTGAATTTGATAAATTTAACCTCTCAATCGATCTCATGTGTTACTATTTGTCGGTTTGCATTAACTAATGTCATTATTGCGTCAGGGTTGCGTCACTTAATATATTAGTGTATCGATATTTCTTTTAGTTTCGTTTATTCTCGTTGAAATATTAAATAGATCTTTAAGTTGTTAACTGTGTTCTTAAAACACACCACTTTGAGGTTTTTTTTTTTTCTCTATTAATTTCATCTTACGTGGTAAAAGGTCGTAGTAGCCACTTGGAGGTTGAGTTCTTTGACTTTGTCTTCCTTACTGATCGTTGGTTAACGGTACCCCATTGGGATTATTAGACCACACGTAGTGATTATCAGGTATATCGGGGAATAAGAGAGAAGGTGAAGAGAAAAAAAAAAGAAATAGAGAATGAGAGAGAATGAGAGAGTGAGAGAGAGAGAGAGAGAAGATAGAAATACATCGAGTTATACTCAGAGTCTGGTAATTAGCCAGTTCGACCGGCGTTGAAACGTTCATTTAGAAAACGCAGAGGCGCTTAAAGGCGTCGTCCAATAGGGTAATTTTAAAGTAACAGAGTAGGCAGCAGAGCCAGAGGCACCACGATGTTAGAGCATCCCCCCTACACACCGTTCAAAGGCATTACTTTCGTGCCGACCCCCCCAGTAATTACCATGCGAAATTACCGCATTTTGCATCCTTAATAGGGGTATAGGTGGATATAGGTAGGAATGTCAGGCATGCCATAAGAATATCGTGAAATAATACAACAACAACAAAAAAAATATATATATATATATATATATAAATGGAGAAATGAAGAAAGGGAAAATCGTAGAATTAACTTTGACTACTGTGCGAGCATTCGTGTCCTTGTACGTACCTACTTACGTTAGTAACTCGAAGCACGGATTTCTTCCTAGTTAACGTTGCTTGGTTATATACGGTTGGTACTATACTCGACTTGATTGGTTCTCGACTTACCTCTTAATGATACATCGAGAATGATAGTGAGAAAGAAAGAGAAACGAATATTTTTCATTTTACCAACGTAAGAGTTTAATCCGACTACTCGAGATCATACATTTATAAGTAGAAGAACGAACTTCTCGTTTCATTCTATCTCATTCTTTCTATCTTTTTTGTTTTTGTTTTTTTTTTTATTTTTCTTTCTTTTTTTTTTTTTTCACTTTTACCTTTCAGCTCGTATCCCTTAACGAAGATGGAAACATCGGAATAGAAGTATCAATTTCAATCGAATTAACTTATCTACTGGTGTAATCTTTACTGGATTGTAGTAAATCATATGAAAAAGAGGATGATTTATTCTTCACAAATTGCTACGATTTTACTTTCAATCTTTGCTTGTTTTATCAATTAAATATTTTTTTTTGTTTTGTTTTAATTTAAATGATTATTAACCCCATTACTCGGTACAATACGAAAATGCAAACAGATAATTAAATTAAGTGTATAATGATATTTATATTAATCAAATAGATACTATTGTTATTTATTGAACTATACTAACTGTTATTATTATTAATTATTATTTAAATTAATTACTAGGGGTGACCCGCCACGTGTTGCTGTGGCTCACAATCAGTCCGATACACACGTCTTTAAGTCAACGAATTACTTTATACCGCTGTCTGTTAGAC